CACTGACACACACGGTTGCCTTGCTGATCATAATTCATATTTCGGATAGAGATATCAGTAGAAAACCCGATAGAATGAACTTTCAGAAAACTAAAAGCTGAAAGCAGTGACAGGCAGAACATTGACATTGCTGCAGAGCACTCAAGGACTGTTCAATGACTCACAGCGCATCTGCCGGTTATGTCACTAAAAACACCGAGCTGCGGTATTTTCCAAAGCCGTTTCCTGAGCTCTTCGGCATGCATAAGTCGCATCATTTTTTTGTCAGGGAGATTCAAACGGTCAGATTTGAGTGTTAAAAGGTATAAAATTGCAAAAGCGTCAACACAAAGTCACCAACCTGTCGCTATTTGGCCTCCTCAACCAGAACAGCGGACATTACCGGAAGTTCTCGCCAGAACGGAAGAAGTAATTGGACAGGGCGATGGCGGCCGTCGGCGGTGTCCGCCATTTTGGGTGTGTCAAAATGCCGACGTAAGGTAGAATACATTTTCTTTGGAGAATCATTCCCACTGTATTAGCTTACGTAGTTCGAAAAAGGACTAAAGTGAGTCTGGTGAATGCCTGCTGTTGAAAAGAAACGTAAGACTCAATCTTGAGTCAAAACAACTTTTTGTTACAGAATTGTTATAGAAAGGCACATTTATTTTGTTGCACTTTTTGTCTTGATAACATCATGAAACAGGTTAAAAATTAGAGGAGGCCATTATTCCTATCCATTGAGCCATTTTTTCTATTTAATTTAGGTTATTGGCTTCAACAATGTAATTGGACAGTTTGTTCCACACTCCCTCAACCCTTAGTGTAAAGAACCAGTTGTTTCTTGAAAGAAGTCAGGGTATCGGTTTCAACAACATGGCTCGGCCACTTGTTTCACACCCCCACCACCCCCTGTGTAAAGAAGAGACTGTGTGTTTTAGGGTCCCATCATAGTCTTCTCTATTCAATACTGAAGATAATCAATTCCTTCAGACTGTCAGAGTAGAATATTCCTTCAATCCACAGAACGTCACTACTCGTCTCTGAGCTGATCCCCAGAAGCAGTGGCTCTCCTACACCGTGGTGAACACAATTGCCACAGGAACCTTGGACCTGGGTTCTGTTGCTCACCATCACAGTAATTATTACCCCTGCGCTTTCCAGGGACGAAAGGTGACTGCAGGCAATAGCAGACACTGACTGCTGTTTGTTAGCAACTAAGCTAATGAAATGAACATTTTGCTGATTATGAAATCCCAAATCATTCACCTCGTACATTTCTTTATTAGTACCTCAGAGATCAGT